GGGGTGGGAGGAGACAGGGAGGAGGGCGGAAAGGGGTGGAAGGGGGCAGGGAGGAGGGTGGTAAGGAGTGGGAGGGGGCAGGGAGAAGAGGGAGAAGCAGAGGAAGTGGTGAAAGAGGAATGGGAGGAGGGTGGGAAAGTGTGGGATGGGACAGGGAGGAGGGGAGGAAGTGGTGAAAGAGGACTGGGAGGTGGCAGGAAGGGGTGGGAGGGGGTAGGGAAATCAGCACAAAGGGGTGGGAGGGGCGCTGAGGAGGGCGGGAAGAAGTGGAGTGTGGGGAAGTGGTCAGGAAAAGGTGGAAGGAGGTGGAGAGGTGAGGGGTGGTTTTTCCATAGAGAGGAGGCCCCGCCCCATGCTGCCCCTCCTGTCAACCCTGGTCAACCTTGGCAGGGTTCTCGCATGTGCTTTCCCGACTTGCACTGTGGGAGTCTGAAGGACCTGAGGCTTTTTGTGAGGAGTCTGGACTCAGGTCAGCAGAGGGAAGTCTTAGACCTGGCCAATCCTCAAGGTAAGGGGCCTAAGGGAGAACTGAGGGACCTCCCACCAAGGAGAGAAGCAGCCCCAGTCCGCCCTGCCCTGCCGTAGGACTTGCAGGCCGCTGACAGGAAGATGGCCGCTGGGGGCTGACCGTGGCATCCCCACAACAGAAGAAGGGAGGAGGTGCCGGCCCTCTAGGGAATAAATAGGAAGACTTTGAGGAGGACTGGGGGAACCCCCACCTCAGAGGACAGATTCCCACAGATTCCCACCCTGCTCCTCGAGAATCAGCCCTGGTAGAGCTCCCTGCCAGCTCAGGCTGAGCGGCCACCGGAGTCTCTAGGCTGGTACTTATTTGCCTCCCTGCTGGGTGAGGGGTGTAGGGGAGGAGGAGGCCTTGGTCTGGGGGTCCCATGGCAAGTCATCAGGGAGAGCTGCCTCCAGTTGGCAGAGGGAAGATTCCCAGGCCCTGCTGGGGATAAGAGTGAGGACTGAGGAGTCACATGTGCATCAGAACAGACGTGAGGCCACCCTGACTGCCCCCGTGGTAGAGTGCTGGGAGGCGGCTGCCACCTCACCACCTCCCACTGCTCTCAGGGATGTGGAGTTTGCCCTGAGGTTTTGGCTCAGGCCAGAAGAGTGGTAGGGACATGGCCCTGTCTGAGAAAAGGTGAGGATGCTCATTAAATTCTGATGGGACCATGCAGTCCAGAACTGTGGGGCTCTGGGTGTCTGGCCAGCCCCAGCTGTCAGCCCTGGGAGGCCCAAGACTCTACTTGTAGTCTTTAACCTGAGGGGCTCCGTCACTTCCTCTTGCAGGTGCTCCAGGAACCAGCAGTTGAAGACCTGGGTGTGAGGCACACTTCCTAAAGTCAGCACCGCAGAGGAGGCCCAGGCAGTGCCAGGAGTCAAGGTGAGTGCACACCCTGACTGTGTACCAAGGGCCCTACCCCCGCAAACAGAGCAGACCCGGCAGCACCCGGCCCTACCCACCTACTGTCAGTCCCGGAGCCTGTGGTTCTGCCTGGCATCTGTATCCCGAGGTGCTTTCTCCCATCCTCCTACAGATTCTGAGGGAATAAACCTCTTAGGAAGACAGGAGACCTGTCAGGCCCTAGAGCAGCACTTTAAGAGAAGAAGAGCTGTAAGCCGCTCTTTGTCAGAGCCATCATAGATGAGTTTCTCAGCTGAAGCCACTCGCACTGTCACTGTCTTCCTCAGGCCTGTGGGATCCTGTCATCCCCATCCCTGCTCACACGTTTACCTGCTGCTCCTGAACAACAGGTCTCATGCCTCTCTTTCCAAACCTTCCAGGCCTCAGCTTTGAGGCAGACTTCCCGAACCCCAGTGTGATAGAGGACTTGGCAGATGCACAGGATTCCATAGATGAGGAAGGGGAGGATGCCTCCTCCACTTCCCCTTCCTCTTTCCACTTTTCATTCCCCGCCTCCTCTTCCTCTTCCTCATCCTCACCCTCTACTCTGATTCTGGGTGCTCCAGAAGACGAGGATATGCCTGCTGCTGGGATGCCACCTCTTCCCCAGAGTCCTCCTGAGATTCCTCCCCAGGGCCCTCCCAAGATCTCTCCCCAGGGTCCTCCACAGAGTCCTCCCCAGAGTCCTCTAAACTCCTGCTCATCCCCTCTTCTGCGGACCCGATTGGATGAGGAGTCCAGCAGTGAAGAAGAGGAGGATACAGCTACCTGGCAGGACTTGCCAGACAGTGAATCCTTGCCCAGGTATGCCCTGGATGAAAAGGTGGCTGAGTTGGTGCAGTTTCTTCTTCTCAAATATCAAACAAAAGAGCCTGTCCCAAAGGCAGAGATGCTGACGACTGTCATCAAGAAGTATAACGACTATTTTCCTGTGATCTTCGGGAAAGGCCATGAGCGCATAGAGCTAATTTTTGGCATTGCCCTGGCTGAGATGGACCCGGACAACCACTCCCATTTCTTTGAAGACCCATTAGGCCTCACCTATGAGGGAAGCCTGACGGATGACCAGGGCATGCCCCAGAACTGTCTCCTGATTCTTATTCTCAGTATGATCTCCATAAAGGGCAGCTGTGTCCCTGAGGAGGTCCTCTGCGAAGTGTTGAGTGCAATAGGGGTGTGTGCTGGGAGGGAGCACTTTATATATGGGAACCCCAGAAAGCTGCTCATTATAGATTGGGTGCAGAGAAAGTACCTGGAGCACCGGGAGGTGCCCAACAACGCTCCTCCACGTTATGAATTCTTGTGGGGTCCAAGAGCCCATTCAGAGGCCAGCAAGAGAAAAGTCCTAGAGTTTTTAGCCAAGGTATTCAGTATCATCCCTAGTTCCTTTCCATCCTGGTACATGGATGCTTTGAAAGATGTGGAAGACAGAGCCCAGGCCATCATTGACACCACAGATGATGCTACTGCCACGGCCAGTGCAAGCCCCAGTGTCACGTCCACCAACTTCTGTCCTGAGTGATGTCTGAAGCAGATTTCCCCTCTGTGTTTGAAGATGGCAGACGAGGTTCTAGGCAGTGGGGGTCCAGAGTGGAGGTGGAGGGACGACAGTGTTTTTTGTGTTTCTGTTTCATATGAGTGACTTAAGAGTTTAACATTTTTTTGTGTAGGGGGGTATATTTTACAAATGCTTCTCCTTCCAATTGGTTTAATTCACTTCAGAATGTTAGTTTATGAATATTATTCACACTTGTATTGCTGTTTGTCTGATTTAAGGGAGAGTTTGATATTTCATAAGAAACAAAGGGAAAATCTGTCTTATTTTGTGAACTGAAACAATATAATGTGGTGTTCGGATAAGAATTTTCTTTAAAATTTGAAATAACTCTGCAGTTAAATTGTGGAACAGAATAAAGTATGGTTGATATTTGCATATCCTTATCATGTTACTCTGTTGTTCCTCCAAATTAAGGATATATACCTGGCTTTGCTTGGCTTATTCAAGAAAGTAGCAGAAATTAAATCTTAATAAATAAAAGCCTCAGTGACTATTTGCTAAACATTCTTTGAGCAGTTGCTTGTGGAGCATGCTCTTAGTCGTGAGGATACTATAAAAACCAAGACTTATCTCCACCCATAAAATGTTAGAGTCTAGGTTCAGAAGCCGTATCAGGAGCGTGGTAAGATACTCTATAGAATCATAAAAACTAGTTTAAAAACGAGTGGGGAGGTGAAACTGCAGATAGAGCCTTCAAGTAAAAAGGCCCAGAGCTATGACAGTTTTGCCCTTCGGGAAACTTTTGGTGCTTCTGTGGGAGCTGATTGTTATGAAGCTGGGTGGTGGCAGGGCCCAGACTCTCAGAAGGTGATAGAAAAACCTGGAATGGAAAACTGCTCTGAGCAGTTCCTTCTGGTGGAGGATGAGGCAGAGAGGAGTCTCCACATGGGGAATTAATGGAAGGTGTCTTGCAGCTCTGTAACTGGGGAGCTTGAACACAGTGCAAGAACTAGGTGATTGATAGCCATCATCTGCAAGGGTTTCCTGAGACATAGGGTGATAATCCCTTGAAGTGTTGCTCAGAAGCCTCTAGGCTGGCACTTAATTGCCTGGCTTGGGAAAACCAGAGCCTACTCCATTGAAAGACATGTAATTAGGTTATTTCAGTTGTAATGTGGGCAACTGTAAGCAAGGGCTAGATTTTTACTGGAGGATAAATAAAAATAGTGGTTTGGAAGGATGAGCAATGGGGAAGGTATAAAGGAGTTGGTGTTTGACTCAAATTCTAGCATCTTTGAGTTGCATTCCAGCTGAAGATGCCTTGCCTTTTCCAAATTATACAATATATCCTTTCAGAAAAAAAATGTACTGAGTTTTATTCATGAAGCCAAAGTTTTGGTTAAGCTGGTAGTAGTCCATGACACATTCGCCTACATATTCTCAGATGTTTAGGATAACAAAACTAACAGCTGAACATTTCACAAAAGACAGTAACCTTTGGTGTGGTAATCATTGATAACAACTGCCATTTATGAAAATTCCAATAGGTGCCAGGCACTGTGGCAGGTGTGTTATTCACATTACATACATTCCAGCAATTTTACAAGACAGGGCTTATCAAACTCATTTTGCAAATGAAGAACCTGAGGCTCATAATGCTTGATAAATTCCCAAGACCACATAGCTAGAATGTGACAAGGTTGTGACATGAGCCCTGGTCTGAATTCATTTAGGCCCACACTGTCCACACTCCTCCCAGCCTGAGGAAGGCCTTTGCCTGTTAAATCACTTCTTTTCACACTTCTTAATGTCTCTCAGGTGAAATAAAGATGAACCGTGTGGCTAAGGTATTAAGTTAGGCAGCAAGATGGAAGGTCAAATGGGAATAAAATACACTTCGGGGAACATTATTGGCTTTCTTTACGTAAAGTCCTCTTGTTCTAAGCACTAGGTTTCTTGAGAGCTGAATGTCCAGGTGCTGACAGATTTGTCCATCCCCAGCAATTTTTCCCATTACAGCCCCCTGCCCCTCCTTTTGATCTCCCCTGTGTGCTCTCTTGCGCAACTCTGGAACCCGGCCTCCTGACTAACTTCTCATTACGGTCTCACTTTCTGAAGTGTGAGGACTGAGGAGTCACATGTGCACCAGAATAGATATGAGACTAGCCCCTATTTCTCCTGGTGTAGAGTGCCTGGAGGTGGCTGCTCATCTCTCAGCGCAAGAGCCTAGAAGCACCTGGCCTTCCCCTGAGATAGACCATTCCTACTCCCTGCAGAAGTTCCCTGACTCATCCATCCCTCTTCCTGGTTCCTCTGTGATAATGGCCTTTCGATGTGACTATTCACTTTGGATAGTGACATTTCCATACCTAGGCTGGGCATCTTCAACACACGATCAACATATTACCAAATAGGCTGCAGAGTAAAATCTGACTTGCCACATAATATATGGGTTTGTGGGATGTAATCCTAAGGTCAGATATAGCTTATTTGAAATCTTCCTAATATTTGATACTTGTAGTATGATTTTAATGAGATGCATTATTTGAAACAGGGCACTGGACACAAACAGAGATGAATAAGCTTTTGTAGATGATCACATGCCAATATTTCCTTCATAAACTTTGTGGATGAGGAAAAGCTATAGACATCACATTGTAAATGATCTATAAGAAGGCAAGTTTCCAAAAAAAGCAAAACAATAACAAAATCTTGAAGACTGTCTAGGAGTTGACAAGGGTACTTTGGGGGACATGCCAGCTCTGATGAGAAATAAACAATAGTTAAACATCCTTCCGCTATCTCTTGTGTGTGTACCTGCTCCACAGGAAAATCCTGGCTTGCAGTGAACCACAGGCACGTGTATAGCTGTTCAGGAATGTTCCGTCCTATGCAGGGTAGCAGAGGCTCAAAGGGTAGATTATTTACCATACACCAAAAATATGAGAGAATTCTCAGCCTGAAGAAATTATATAGGTTATTAAAAGGACAGTGCCGGCCGGGCGCGGTGGCTCAAGCCTGTAATCCCAGCACTTTGGGAGGCCGAGACGGGCGGATCACGAGGTCAGGAGATCGAGACCATCCTGGCTAACACGGTGAAACCCCGTCTCTACTAAAAAATACAAAAAATTAGCCGGGCGTGGTGGTGGGCACCTGTAGTCCCAACTACTCAGGAGGCTGAGGCAGGAGAATGGCGTGAACCCGAGAGGCGGAGCTTGCAGTAAGCTGAGATCCGGCCACTGCACTCCAGCCTAGGCAACAGAGCGAGACTCTGTCTCAAAAAAAAAAAAAAAAAAGGACAGCGCCAAGTGCTATTGAGGGAATAAGGTTGACCCTCCCTGCCAAGACTTACAGAATTGTTTTAAAACTGGATGTAATCCTGTATTTGAAACCACCAGTCACCTCGTAGGTGCAAGAAAAAGTTGGAAGATTTCAAGGCTATGCGGACATTCCCAGAAACAATTCCAAGCTATGAAGAGACTTCCTGTCATCAATTATAATAGTTGCTTTTCATTGAGCACCATAATAACATATGGGAGAGACGACAAGCACCCGTCTCCATCTTGTCTAGCTCACCTTCCTGGCTGGTTCATTTGTAGTTAGACAGAAGCCAGTGCACCGCTCCCATGCTTTCGTTTCTGTTCAGCGCTTAACATCTGTTGTGACATGAAGCTACAAGGTGAAAGCAGCTTGGATTCTTGGCTGAGGTGAAAGCCAGGACCCGCTGTCGGTTAGTTTATTACACCATCACACAGAACCACTGACTGGGTGATTAAACAATACCCATGTATTTTCTCACATTTCTGGAAGGTAAATATCTGAGATCAAGATGTTAACCGGTTTGATTTCTTCCCCAGCCTCTCTGTGGCTTGCTCATGGCCACTTTCTCACTGAATTCTTACAATTTTTCCTCGGTCTGTGTGTCTGTATCATAATCTGCACTTCTTATGAGGACACCTGTCATATTAAATATGAACCTGACCTTAAGACCTCATTTTACCTTAATTACCTCTTCAAAGTTTCTATCTTCAAATACAGTCACATTCTGGGATACTGGGTTTGAAGACTTGGATATATGAATTTTGGGGGAGAGTCAAAATTCAGCCCATAATACCCTGCCAACTAAAATCAGAATTTATATACAAAAAAGTAAACTTGTGTTAAGTCATGTAAAAATCAAGGCTTTTTTGTTGTTGTTCCATGAGCTTACTGTTAGTTTATCTGCCTCCTAGACTGCTCATCATCCTTTTCTTAGGCTTATTTCAATACTTTCCTTACAAATAAATACTGCATATATTTTTATTGCAAATATTTTAAAAGGAGATAGAAATCACAATTCTCCCCTTTGGAAAGTTCCTCCAAAATTCAGCCCCCTATTCAGTAGTTTCCACAATTAACCATGTGGTGTTTACATTTAAAAGCTGATTTAGAATTTTGAGAAAGACGTGATTTTTAAAATAAAATTTATGCATATACGAGCTTATGTCTGTGTTTATAACTACACATGGGTAACAATATACATATAGGTCTGCCAATTCCCTTTCCACTATTACAGATTCAATTGCATCCCCACTAAAATCTTATGTTGAAATTAACATGTGGCATTATTTGGAGACGGGATTATCTCAGAGGCAAGTAAGTTAACACGTGGTTATTAAAAAAGAGCTGGTACTATTCCTACGCAAACATCCTTTCTTTATTAACAAACATACTTAATTCATATGTATTTCCTTGTCTTGAAAATCTATTTTCTGTCCCAGGATCCCCTGCGGATACTCCACTACATTTTTTCATCATGTCTCTTTAAATGCCCTTTGGCTGTGCCAGTTCACTGAGACTTCACTTGATTTTGAAAACAAGTGCCATTCTTATCATATCGTACCGAAGGCACATACTACCAACACAATTTGTCGTTGATGATGTTAATTTAATCACCATGGTGACGTAGTGTTTTACAGTTTTCTTCAGGGTAGTCACATTAATTTTTTCCCTGGGTCATACTGTCATCTTGGGAAGGATAGAAGATCCAGGAGCAGCCAGTAGTCAGATGAGGCCTCTGAGGGAAAACTGCAGAGACTTCTTGCCCACAAAGAGGAGGATCCACAGAAACCAGCTCCCCACCTGTTGTCATCCCCGGGAGGCTCAGGGGCATGGTGACCCACAGGGGTGTCCCCTGACATCTCAGGGGGGAGAAAGAGGAGAAGGCTGTGCTCTGGTGAGTCTCAGTTCAGATCATGAGAGCGGAAGATCACGAGGGGTCCTTCCAGGCATCCCCAGGCTGATACAGAGGACAGACTGGTGAGCTACCCCACCAAGGACACAGGGGGATCCCCCAAAATCAGCTCATTTGCACTCCTAGGAGGCCTTGGGCAGGGCCATTAGGGAGAGATGCTAGGGTGCTCCAGTCCCTCCTAGGGGATTTATGGAAGTGGAAACCTTGATTTGAAAAACAGTCTCTGGAGAGAAGAGGGAGGGAATGGAGGCCATGTCAGTAATAATAGGTTGAGGAAGACTGAGGGTCCTTCCCACGCTATTTCAGACGGAGGGCAGAGGAGCCCTACCTGGGGCCTGGGAGGCCATACCCCCCTGTGGAGGGATGTGATTCGACCTCTCTTGCACCTTGCAGGTCTCAGGGATGGGAGGGGCTTATTCGGAGGTGAAAGACACAGATGCACAGAGGCAGGGAGCCCAGGCCATTACAAGAGTCCAGGCACAGCCTCTCAGGAGGGCAGGAAGGGAACATCCATGACCGGTAGTGCCCCCTATCCTGCCCCTGTGCCTGCTGCCAGCTCTGGAGGAGCCCATCAGGGTCCCCAGATTTACAACTTTCTGACTTCCACTTTGGGAGTCAGCTAGAGGGGAGATTATCTCTGAGGGAGGCAGCTTCGGTTAAGCAGAGGGAGTTGCACCAGGGCTGGTCACGCAACAAGAAGAGAACTCTGTCGAAGGACAGTGACCTCCCAACACGGAGGGGAGGCGCAGGCTGCACCCTGCCACTCCCTGCTGTCAGCCCTGGAAAAAGGTGGGGTGTGAGTGTCAAGGACTGGGGAGGTGGGAGGGAAGAGTCCGGCAAGGCTTAGGGAGTGAGCAGGAAGGGCAGGAGCACATCCTGGAGGTGGGAAGGAGGGGATGGAAAGGAGGCTGACAAGTGGGGGGGGGTTGCTCCTCTGAGAGGAGGCCCCGCCCCACGCTAGCCCTGCTGTCAGTCCTGATCCTCCCCGGCAGGGTTCCCGGATGTACTTTCCGGCGTCCATCTTGGGAGGCTGAAGAACCTGAGGTATTTTGTGACGAGGCTCGTCTCAGGTCAGCAGAGGGAAGAGTCTTAGACCTATCCAGTCTTCAAGGTGAGGGCCCCGAGGGAGAACTGAGGGACCCCCCCCACCACAGAGAGAAGCCGCCCGGCTTGCTGTACCCCTGCCGTGGGACTTGTAGTTCGCGGAAAGGAAGATGGTAGCCGAGGGCTGAGGGACGGGTCCTCACGGCAGAGGAAGGGAGGAGATGCCGGCCCGCTAGGGAATAAATAGGAAGACGTTGAGGAGGATCGGGGAACCCCCACCTCAGAGGACGGATTCCCGCAGATTTCCCCCCCTGGCTCTGAAATCGCCCTCTTTAGGAGCCTCCCCAGTCGGCTTCGGGTGAGCGCCGCGCCTCTCTTTCGCTGGGTGAGTGGTGTCGTGGGACGGGAAGGGAGGCTTTGTTTCTGGGGGTCCCTGGCCCAAGTCAGCACGGCGAATGCCTTGCCTTGCAGCCGGCCGGATGGGAGCTCCCAGACCCTTTGCTGCGAAAGAGTGGCCTGAGGGGTCAGCAATTTGAGAGGTTGACAGGTGTATCAAGCCCTGCGTTTGAGGCGCCTCTCGGCTCCGCCGAGCCGCTTCTGCGGCGCTTGGGAGCCCCTTCGCCCCACGCACTGTAGAGCCCTTTCTTCTGGGCTTGGCGGGGCCGGAGCCGCCACTGGGCCTTCACTTGCGGGAGGTGTGGAGGAGAGGCGTGGGCAGGAACGGGGGCTGCTCCGGTGGGCTGCTCTGTCATGGGGCTTGCGGGCCAGCTGGAGTTCTGGCGGGTGTGGGCGGGTCGGTTGGGCGGCAGGATGGAGCGACCAGCCGGCGTGCCTCGGGCCCAGGGCAGTGGGGCGGCTTAGGCACCCTGGCAGCAGCTTGCGGAGGGTGCCGCGCAGCCTCGGGCACGTCCACTGTCGGTTTCTTCGCGGCCCGGCCTCAGCGTGACTTCCTTGGCGGGGCAGGGCTCGCGGATTCTGAGCCCACCATGTTGAAGCCCGCCTCGCGGTGTGCCTCCCTTGGTGGCCCGAAGCCTTCCCGGACGGGAGGCCCTGTCCATGCGGCCGTCCCATTGACTGCCAAGGCTGGGTTGCAGGCGCGCTCTGGGATGGCGGGGCAGCTCACCTGCAGGCCCCGTTGCCGGATCCCATTAGGGTGAACCCGGCAGGGCTCCTGAGTCTCGGTGGGGCTGGTGGAGAACCTTTATTGTCTCGCAAGGGTTGTAATACCACCAATCAGCACTCTGTGTCTGCTAGGGTGGTTTCTGGATACACCATTGGGTACTCTATATTTAGCGTAAGCTTTAGGGGGATTTGGGAGGAACTTTTTCTGTCTTGGACTCTGTGTTCTTTGCTAGCTCATAAATGCTACCAAATCCAGCACCCTGTCAAAATGGACCAATTCAGCTCTCCGTAAATAGACCTATCAGCTCTCGTGTAAATGGACATCAGCAGGATGTGGGTGGGGACGATAAGGGAAGGAAGCGGGGCCGCCCAGGCAGCAGTGGAACCTGCTAGGCCCTCTTCCACACTGTGGAAGCTTCTTTCTACCCTGTTTACAATAAATCTTGCTGGCTGCGGCACTCTTTGGGTCCACGCGCCTTTAAGAGGAACGCTCCTCCATTTTCTCTTCCTCTCTCCATTTTTTATTCCCCCCTCCTTCCTCCGCTCCTTCTCTTCCTTCTCATCCTCATCTCTTCTTCCTATCTGGCGTTCTTCCAGGGGACAAGCAGTTTAAGAGAGCTGTAACACTCACCACGAAGGTCTGCAGCTTCACTCTTGAAGCCAGCGAGACCACTAAGCCACCGGAAAGAAGGAACAACTCCAGATGCGCCGCCTTTAAGAGCTGTAATGCTCACGGAGGAGGCCTGCAGCTTCACGTGAGGCCACCCGGATCACCCCCGTGGTAGAGTGCTGGGAGGTGGCTGCCGCGTCATTTCGTCCCACTGCTCTCAGCGCTGTGGAGTTGGCCCTGAGGTTTTGCCTCAGGCCAGCAGAGTGGTGGGGGCCTGGCCCTGTCTGAGAACATGTGACAATGCTAACTGAATGCTGAGGGGGCCACGAACCTCAGAACTGTGGGACTCTGGGAGTCTGGCCAGCCTCAGCTGACGTCATAGCTGGAGGGTCTCCCTCACTTCCTCTTGCAGGTGCTGTAGGAACCAGGAGTTGAAGACCTGGGTGTGAGGGACACATACATCCTAAAAGCACCACAGCAGAGGAGGCCCAGGCACTGCCAGGAGTCAAGGTGAGTGCACAGCGTGACTCTGTACCAAGGGCCCTACCCCCAGAAACAGGGCAGACCTGGCAGCACCCAGCCCGTAGCCACCCACTGTCATTCCCGGTGCCTCAGACTCTGCCTGCCAGCTGTGCCCTGAGGTGCTTTCTCACATCCTCCTACAGGTTCCCAGGAGACAAACCTCCTAGAAAGACAGGCGACCTGTGAGGCCCTAGAGCACACCATAAGAGAAGAAGAGCTGTAAGCCGGCCTTTGGCAGAGCCATCATGGGTGAGTTTCTCAGCTGAGGCCACTGGCACTGTGCCTCTCTCCCTCAGTCCTGTGGGATCCTATCATACCCATTCGTGCTCACACGTTTACCTGCTGCTCCTGAACAATATTCATGGTGCCTCTCTCTCCAAACCTTCCATGCCCCAGCTTTGAGCAAGGCTTCCAGAAGCCAAATTTCATACTGGAGTTGGTAGATGCAGAGGATCCCCCACATGAGGAAGGGGAGGAAGGCTCCTCCATTTTCTCTTCCTCTTTCCACTTTTTATTCCCCTCCTCCTCATCCTCCTCCTCCTCCTCTTCTTCCTTCTCATCCTCATCCTCTTCTCTGATTCTGCGTTCTCCAGGGGACAAGCAGATGCCTGCTGCTGGGATGCCGAGTCTTCTCCAGAGTTCCGCTGAGAGTCGTCAGAGTCGTCCTGAGGGGAAGGACTCCCCGAGTCTTCTCCAGAGTCCTCCTGAGGGGAAGGACTCCCAGTCTCCTCTCCAGATTCCTCAGAGTCCTCCTGAGGGCGACGACTCTCAGTCTCCTCTCCAGAATCCTGAGAGTCCTCCTGAGGGGGAGGACTCCCTGTCTCCTCTCCAGATTTCTCAGAGCCCTCCTGAGGGTGAGGACATCCAGTCTCCTCTCCAGAATCCTGCGAGCTCCTTTTTCTCCTCCACTTTATTGAGTCTATTCCAGAGTTCCCCTGAGAGTACTCAAAGTCCTTTTGAGGGTTTTCCCCAGTCTCCTCTCCAGATTCCTGTGAGCCCTTCCTTCCCCTCCACTTTACTGAGTCTTTTCCAGAGTTCCCCTGAGAGTTCTCAAAGTACTTTTGAGGGTTTTGTTCAGTCTCCTCTCCAGAATCCTCAGAGTCCTCCTGATGGAGACAACTCCCAGTCTCCTCTCCACAGTCCTCAGAGTCCTCCTGATGGGGAGGACTCCCTGTCTCCTCTCCTATTTCCTCATAGGCCTCCTCAGGGGGAGGACTTCCAGTCTTCTCTCCAGAGTCCTGTGAGCATCTGCTCCTCCTCCACTTCACTGAGTCTTCCCCAGAGTTTCCCTGAGAGTCCTCAGAGTCCTCTTGAGGGTCCTGCGCAGTCTCCTCTCTATAGTCCTCAGAGCCTTCCTGAGGGGACGGACTCCCAGTCTCCTCTCCAGAGACCTCAGAGTCCTCCTGAGGGGGAGGATTCCCTGTCTCCTCTCTACATTCGTCCTCCTGAAGGGGAGGACTCCCTGTCTTCTCTCCAGTTTCCTCATAGTCCTCCTGTGAGGGAGGCCTCCCTGTCTCCTCTCCAGATTCATCCGTGTACTACTGACGGGAAAGATCCCCAGTCTCCTCTCCAGACTCCTCAGAGTCCTCCTGAGTGGGAGGTCTCCTTGTCTCCTCTCCGCTTTCCTCACAGTCCTCCACAGGGGGAGGACTTCCAGTCTTCTCTCCAGAGTCCTGTGAGCATCTGCTCCTCCTCCACTTCATTGAGTCTTCCCCAGAGTTTCCCTGAGAGTCCTCAGAGTCCTCCTGAGGGGCCTGCCCAGTCTCCTCTCTATATTCCTCAGAGCCTTCCTGAGGGGACGGACTCCCAGTCTCCTCTCCAGAGACCTCAGAGTCCTCCTGAGGGAGAGGTTTCCCTGTCTCCTCTCTACATTCCTCAGAGTCCTCCTGAAGGGGAGGACTCCCTGTCTTCTCTCCAGTTTCCTCATAGTCCTCCTGTGAGAGAGGCCTCCCTGTCTCCTCTCCAGATTCCTCCGTGTCCTACTGACAGGAAGGATCCCCAGTCTCCTCTCCAGACTCCTCAGAGTCCTCCTGAGTGGCAGGACGTCCAGTCTCCTCTTCAGAATCCTGCGAGCTCCTCCATCTCCTCCACTTTATTGAGTGTTTTCCAGAGTTCCCCTGAGAGTACTCAAAGTACTTTTGAGGGTTTTCCCCAGTCTCCTCTCCAGATTCCTGTGAGCTCCTCCTTCCCCTCCACTTTACTGAGTCTTTTCCAGAGTTCCCCTGAGAGTTCTCAAAGTACTTTTGAGGGTTTTCCCCAGTCTCCTCTCCAGATTCCTCAGAGCCCTACTGAGGGTGACAACTCCCAGTCTCTTTTCCATAGTCCTCAGAGTCCTCCTGAGGGGGAGGACGCCTTGTCTCCTCTCCAGATTCCTCAGAGTCGTCCTGAGTCAGAGGACTCTCTGTCTCCTCTCCAGACTCATATGTGTCCTCCTGATGGGGAGGACTTCCAGTCTCCTTTCCAGATTCCTGCTGAGTGGGACAACTCGCTGTCTCCTCTCCACTTTCCTCATAGTCCTCCTCAGGGGGAGGACTTTCAGTCTCCTCTTCAGATTCCTCAGAGCCTTCCTGAGTGGGAGGACTCCCTGTCTCCTCTCCATTTTCCTCATAGTCCTCCTCAGGGGGAGGACTTCCAGTCTTCTCTCCAGAGTCCTGTAAGCATCTGCTCCTCCTCCACTTCATTGAGTGTTCCCCAGAGTTTCCCTGAGAGTCCTCAGAGCCCTCCTGAGGGGCCTGCCCAGTCTCCTCTCTATATTCCTCAGAGCCTTCCTGAGGGGAGGGATTCCCAGTCTCCTGTCCAGAGACCTCAGAGTCCTCCTGAGGGAGAGGTTTCCCTGTCTCCTCTCTACATTCCTCAGAGTCCTCCTGAGGGGGAGGACTCCCTGTCTTCTCTCCAGTTTCCTCATAGTCCTCCTGTGAGGGAGGCCTCCCTGTCTCCTCTCCAGATTCCTCCGTGTTCTCCTGACAGGGAGGATCCCCAGTCTCCTCTCCAGACTCCTCAGAGTCCTCCTGAGTGGGAGGTCTCCTTGTCTCCTCTCCGCTTTCCTCACAGTCCTCCTCAGAGGGAGGACTCCCAGTCTTCTCTCCAGAGTCCTGTGATTATCTCCTCCTCCTCCACTTCACTGAGTCTTCCCCAGGATTTCCCTGAGGAACCTCAGAGACCCCCTGAGGGGCCTGCTCAGTCTCCTCTCCAGAGACCTCTCAGGTCTTTCTTCTACACTTTAGCGAGTCTTCTGCAGAGTCCCCATGGGAGTCCTCAGAGTCCGCCTGAGGGGCCTGCCCAGTCTCCACTCCAGAGACCTGTCAGCTCCTTCTCATCCACTTCACTGAGTCTTTCCCAGAGTTCTCCTGAGAGTCCTGAGAGTCCTCCTGAGGGGCCTGCGCAGTCTCCTCTCCAGAGTCCTGTGAGCTGCTCCTCCTCCACTTCACTGAGTCTTTCCCACAGTTCCCCTGAGAGTCCTCAGAGTCCTCCTGAGGGGTCTGCCCAGTCTCCTCTCCAGAGTGCTGTGAGCTCCTCCTCCTCCTCCACTTCTTTGAGCCCATTCAGTGAAGAGTCCAGCAGCCCGGTAGATGAAGATACAAGCACCTCAGACACCTTGCTAGAGAGCGAGTCCTTGACAGACAGTGAGTCCTTGATAGAGAGCGAGCCCTTGTTCACTTATACATTGGATGAAAA